GTGTGTGTGTGTGTGTGTGTGTGTGTGTGTGTGTGTGTGTGTGTGTGTGTGTAGTATAGGGGGCTGAACCAAGGATCAAACTGCAGACCTGAGGAGCCCTTCAGCAGCCCTGGGCTGCGGAGGACCCCGGGGAACGCTGGTCCACTTTACTTTTTTTCTGGCAGGGAGGAAGAGAGAAGGGAAAGAAAGAGAGCTTTTCAAGGCTCTACAACCAATAAAACCTTGCATCAGTGAGTACATACTTCAGCCTGAAAAAAAAAAGACAGACAGCTCAAGGGCAAATAGTGTCTAATCGACTGTGTGTAAGTTACTTGATAACTGCAAAGGTGCAGTAGGGATTGACTTACTGTGGGAAAAAGGCTGGTCCTATCAAAACAATTTATGTAACATATGGTTGGTTCCACTCCTAAATCATCCAGGAGCTTCCCACAATTACCTTTGTAATTAACATGTAATTCATGACTACCCCTAGACTCCAATGTTATTAATAGCCCTGCCGAAGTGACCCAACTAGGCTGAAGTCACTGGAAGTACCTAGTTGGAATTCTGTCTTTCTCTTAGTACCACCTCCTTACTCCATCCCACTAACTGGCCAAGTCATTTTTCAAAAAGGTCAGGAACCAAAGTAGCACAAGATAACTGGTTAACATTGGGAATGGAAGCAAAGCGACATTAGCTCAGGCTGATGTTAGAAACTGAAACATCGTTTGGTTAAGGTTAGAAATTGAAACATCACAACATAAGTTTGGTTAAAGATTAAAGTGGTGTAACATCACTTTGGTTTAGGACAGAAATGGAAGCAAAGCAACATAACTTTGATTAAGGTTGGGAATTGAAGCTGTTAGCAACACCACTGATAAGCTAAAGGCTTTTGATTAGACTTCAAGAGTGTTTTGAGACTTCCAAAGCTCAATCGTGTAACTGACTACAGAGTTCTGCTACAGAAGCCACTCTGCGGCACTGGCACTAATGAGCTGGCACCGAACTGTTGCTTGAAGGGGCAGCCCGGTGTAGAAAGAGCACATGACTAGGAGCCAGAAGACCGGCTCCACCACCTACTAGCTTTCTGACCTTGGACAAGTCACCTCGACTTTTTGAGACTCAGTTTCCTCCTCTGTAAAATGAAGCGGTTGCCACAGAACTCCCTTCCAGCTCTGACATCATAAGGGTCCTCAGTCAAGAGGCTACTATCCTTTGCAGAAATTGCTCAAGGATCAGAGAAAGAGACTCTCCTCCGAATAATTTAACAAAAGAATGAATTTTGCCAACAGTCCCCAGCAGAGGTGTCTGCCCCATTCTCCAACACCTACAGTTCAAAGAATGTGATAATTTTTCCACCAGTTTAGCCCTCTTTCATTTGCAAGATGCTCTCCAAACAAAGTTTAAGATTTCCGGTGGGTAATCAGTCCTTTCAAAGGCCTGTAAATTGAATGTGCAATTAACCCTAAGGTTAAGTGAGAAAAAAAAAATACCAAATACCTTCCAGAAAATCTCGTCAGACTCTCCCCAAGTGAGGGTCTGCAGGGGGCGGGTGTTTTTGTTTTGAAGACAACTTCTAAAGCTTCAGCAGCCCCTAAAAGCCCTAAAGAATCCAGTAGTACTGGGAGACGGGCAAGCGGGGAAGAGGATTTGGAAAAAGAAAATCAATTCAAATTACAAGTTTTGCACACGTGTGCTATACACACCCACTCAGGTTTGTCTCTTTCTTGACCCCCTCCCCCCAGACCCCTTTCTCCCCCTCATCACCTCCTTACAGCGAAGCGGTCAGCCTGGCAAAGTGTGGGCAAGTCCGGGACTGTGGAACACTTGCGGGGGCGGGGGGGGGGGGAGGAGAAGCCCACTCTCGTGAGAGCTCTCCAGGGGATAAGGAGTGAGTGAGAGTGTGAGTGAGTGTGTGAATGTGTGAGTGTGTGAGTGTGTGTGTTCAGGAATCCCCCTCGGGTCCCGGCTGCGGGCGGGTGGGCGAGCCGGGAAAGGGGGAATGCTAGCTCCCTGCCCTCCGGGTCGGGTTTCTCGCTGCCCCACCTGAGGCCGGTGTGTGGGTGTGCCTACGGGATGGGGGTGCAGTCCCGGGCGCTCCCGGCCCTCGCAGGCGTCCTGCTCCCGGGTCTCCCTCCCCGCCTGCCTCCCTCCCGACTCACCGTTGATCTCGTTACTGGGCGCATCGTTTTTGTTGAAGCCCTTGGAGACGTAGACCTGAAGCACTTCCAGGCAACTTTTCGATTTGAGCTCGGCGGCCAGGAGGCTGAGGCTGAGGGCGGCCAACGTGCAGAGGAGCGACGGGAGGGGCAGCCGGGCCATGCCTAGGGAGCTGGGGGGCAGAGCAGAGCACGGGAAGGGGCACGGCACTGCACGGGGAGCGCGGCACGGGCGGACCGGTCCGAGCCTGGGGCTGGGAGGGCGGGGGCGCACGGGCCGGCCGGCGGGCGGGCGGACAGACGGACAGAGAGCGTCGCTCCGAGATGCCCAAGCGCCCCCTCGGCGGTGGCGACGGCGGCGGCGGCGGGAGCTCGAGAGTTTCGGCTCCCGGGCGGCGGGCCCTGACCTTTGGGCTCCGAGAAGTTGTTTGCACAGCCGCTAGAGGAGGCGGCGGCAGCGGAGGAGGTAAAAAAGAAGGGAGGAGGTGGGGCCGGTCGGAGGGAGGCTGGCTGCCGTGCGCGCGGCTCGTCCTCGCCTTCGCAGGCGTCGCGGCCGCCGGCTTCACTCGACTCGGCTGGGCTGGGCTACTCAGCTTAGCTCAGCCGTGCCCCGCTCTAAGGTGCCTTGCCCTGCTCCGCTGTGCCTTGCTGTGTCGTGCCGTGCTGTGCTGTGCTCAGCTCTGCTCTGCGCTCAGCTCCCGCAGCTCCCCCCTCTCGGCTCGGCCCGGCCCGGCCCGCCTCCGCTCGGCCCCGCTCCTGATTGACTGGCCAGTGTGCGGCGGCGGCGGCGGCGGCGGCGGCGGCGACGCTCAGCAAACTTGGCCGAGCCCACTGCCGGGCCGGGGCGGGGAGGGGGAGGGGGAGGGGGAGGGGGAGAGGGAGGCGGAGGGGGAGAGGGCGGGGAGACTGGAGGGAGGTAGCGCGCTGGGACCGGCCGGGCCCGGAGAAAACCTGGATCCAGGGCCGGATCCGGAGGAGCCGGCTGCACTTCCTCGGAGGCCTGTGTGGACTGGGGTGCGGGGCGTAGGGGGGGATGGGGGGGTGTCCGTAGACACGCCCTATCCTCCCTCTCCTGCCCCCCCATTACTGCCCCCAGTCGCTTCCCTCCGATGCTTTTCTAAAGCTCCCGAAGAAAATGCCAACTTGTTGAGGTTTGTTTTGTTTTGTTTTTTTCCTTTTTTCAAAGTGAAGTCTTAAAAGTCCGAGCCAGCCTGGAAGCCCCACGGCTCTTCGGACAACCACCTGACTCGCCCACGAGAGGAAAGAGCAGTGACTCTAAGTCAGAGAGCCAGGATTCAAATATCACAACTAATGCCTAATCTGTTACCTTGGGCAAATCACTTCAACTTCCCCAGCCTCAGTTTCCTCATCAGGAAATAAAGAGGTTGGACTAGAATGTTTAAGCACGGACTTAGGGGTCTCAAATGGAAAAAGTTTAAGAAGCCCTGGACTTAAGGGCCTGGACCCTCTGGGGTCCTTTCCAGCTCAAAAATCTATGATTCTATGATCCTTTGGATAAAAAGTCCCTAAAACTCATTGGCCACCAAACTTCCCAACCTCTTAGTGGGTAGCAAGATTACCCTGGAGCATCTTCTCTAAGGACCCTAGGTCCTTGTAGTGGGCAAGGCACCTCTGGTTAACCCCCATTTCACAGATGAGGAGACTGAGGCTTCAAGCTACAGAGTGATGTTGCTCATAGTTACACTCAACCAGTACCAGAACTGGACCCAGCTTCTCCCAATACTGAAGCCAGACTCTTTTCCCCTAGGCTACTACTGAGGTACCCCAAGCTCTTTAGGAGGGTTTCTTGATTACCATTACGCCTTAAGAAGACCAACTCACATTTCTGTAACCCATGAAGGTCTGCAAAGGGTTCTTCTCACAACAACCCTGTGAGTTTCTTAAAATAAGGAATTCAGTCATAATGAGAGCATTTCCATTTTACAGAGAAGGAACCAGGTTCTAAAGCGTTCAAGCTATCTCCGGCATTACCTGAGTCCAATCTGGGGGCTTCTTTGGCTCATGCCTTCACTCCAGTTTTCCCCTTGGAAATATCAGAATTTGGCTCATGCCTGGGTCTCCTCGGGAAAAAGCTTAATGGGGGACCTCTGCTGCCATGTAAGTAGTGAGGCTAACACTCCATCGGCAGACAAGTTTTATTGAGCCTAGCCAGAAACCCTAAACAGCACCCCAGTCCCCAAAGAGTCATGACAACTCTCCTTCCACCCCCAGCTCCTCCACTTGACTTCCACCTGCCTCAGGGAAGACATATTACTACCCAGTGTTTGATCCCCACTCCCTACTCCCCACCCTGGCCTCCATGGTCACACAGCTAATAATGTCCAGAGAAGTGATTGGAAAGTGGGCCTCATCCCAATCTAACACTCTTTCCACTGTACCCTTCTGCTTCTCCCTGGAGGTGCAAGGGTGACTCGGGACTAGGAACTCAGCCCCTGTACTGAAAGTGAGTACCCTGGTATCCCCCAAAGCCCCATTCTCATCAAAGCTAGTTATTCACCAGAACTCACATTTCTATCATTTCTTAAGGTTTGCAGAGCACTTCCCTCACAACAACCCAGTGGGTCACTCAGCCTCAGTTTACCAAAAATAAAGGGTCAGACTCTAAAGTCCCTTCCAGCACTAAGTCTATGAACCATTTTACATTGGAAAACAGGCAAAGAGCTAAGTGACTTCTTCTGCATCTCCAAAGTTGGAAACAGCTGAAACCCTGGGCAGCTCTCATGGACCTGAGGGCCAGCACTCTGTCTCCCATCCTATGCCCCATTCAAAGCTAGTTCTCCAAGCTCAAAATCCTCCTTGCTTTCCCCTCAAAGACAGGGCCTGTCTTTCTCATCAGCCTATGCCTAACACAAGGCCCTGCACATAGCAAGCACTTGCTAAGTGTTGCAATGAATTAAGCAGTGACATGTGTCTAGCACATGCTTGGGACACTGGCCGGTAAGCCCCTTGGCCTCTGGGAATCTGTGGTCTGAAGAACTGAATCTTGGAATAACCCAACAGACATATGTACAACTGCAAAAACCTCCATGGGATATGGAGAGAATGAAATGATTACAATATTTATATTTTGATTCCCATCATTCTGGATAAGCCAGAAGGACAGAGACCCCTTGTCTTATACCTCTCTCTGATTCTAGCATCCTTTTAGCCCCCAGTGGTCAGGAATGGAGATATTCTCTCCCCACCCCCACCCCCCCTACTTCTTACAAAGGTCATTGACAGAAAGTTTCTAGAATTCTAGGGTGTAGATCTGGCCCTCATTGTGGCCACTTTCATTGGTCCAGTCTACCTGAAAAAGTATGAGGTCTGCAGAGAGTAGCTATTAAGGAGCTGGAAACTCCTTGGCCAGAGAGTGTGGATTGTTTGGCTAGACCTGGGGTGGGGAACCTTCTACTTTGAGGCCACATGTGGCCTCCTAGGTCCTTGGGTGCAGCCTTGTGACTGAGTTTTACAGAACAAATCCTTTTATTAAGGAGATTTGTTCTGTGAAGTTTGGATTCAGTCAAAGGGCCACACTTAAGGACCTAGAAGACCAAACGTGTCCTCGAGGCTGCAGGTTTCCCACTCCCGGGCTTGACTTGAGTTCTTATCAAATCAAATCAAAGGATGAAGGACCTATGTAGTCTCCCTTGTAGGATTTTGTCAAGACCTCCTCCTCTGGTTATGTGACATCTTTGGCTGTTGTAATGAGCTGTGGAAATGCTAGTGGTATTTTTCTTTAGGATACTTGCTAAAGACTCTTATGTTGTCTTATTAAATATTGGAGACTGGCACCCTCAGTAGATTAGACTGTGGGACCGATCTCTAACTAGGACTTCAGATTTATGTGGGCTGACAGAAACATGCCATTCAGAAACATTTCCTGAAACAATAAAGATGATTACACGCTGAATTTCAGCTGTCATTTTGGAGGTGCTTTCAAATAATCCAGATTTTCTGCTACTGGCGAGACATGAAGTGGGCGTAGGTAGATTGGAGGCCAGTGGGGATGGCCAGGTGGAGGCCAGTGGAGGCCAGGTGTGAGCTGTTGCATGAGACATATCCTCCAGGGACTAGGTAAGTGGGCCAGTCACTGAGCGTGTAGGACAGTTAACAGGGTAACAGCAAAGGCTGGCCTGCTCTCTGTAAAATGTCAAAAAGACTTCCATCGTGTTGGGTGACCCCATTCATCTATGGGAGATTTATGGGAGGTCATGGACGAGAGTCCCGCAGGAGGAGAAAGTATGGCTGGTTTACCAACCTCCACCAAAGAAGGGGAAAGGCCATTTCTGAATCTATGCCCTGTAGGCATCTCAACCTCCTTCTATCCCAAAGTAGACTCTTTCCACCCTTCCTAACTTCTCTACCTCTTTCAAGGACATCACCACCCTTCCAGTCACCCAGGGTCACAACTACTCTTCCCTCCACCAGCCCCTCCAGCAAAGCCAGTCTTGTCAGTTCCATAGCCACACCGTCTCTCGAATGGAGCCCCTTCTCAGCATAGCCACTCGCCTAAGAGGGCTCCTGCATTTCTTCTCGCCTAGAGGATTGGTCTCCAAACTCTCCCTTCTCCGATTCAGCCTCCACACAGCTGCCAAATTGATATTCCAAAACCACATTTGGGGCTGTGTCACTCCCCTGCTCAAAAACCTCTAGTGGATCTACAGGCAAAAGCCTCTGGGATAAAATGGAAACTCCTTTGGCTTTTATAGCTCCTCAATATCTGGCCCCAGCTTACGTTCCCAGGCTTATTTCACATTCTTTTCCTTCATGCACTCTAGGTCCCAAACAAAATGGTCTATTTGGTGTCCTCTGAAAATAGTATTGTATCTCCACTCTTAGTCTGTCCCTGGCTCGCTCTCACTCTCTCTGTCTCTGTCTCTGTCTCTGTCTCTGTCTCTCTCTCTCTCTCCCTCTCCCTCTCTCCCTCTCCCCCTCCCTCCCTCCCTCCCTCTTCCTCCCTCTCCCCCTCCCTCCCTTTTGTACCCTGTTCTTCTCTCTGCTCTCTCTTTTTTCTGTTCTCTCCCCTCCCTCTCTCCCCACTATCTCTTCCCATTCTTTCTGTCCTCTCCCCTCTCCGCCCTTTCCCTTCTCTTTGTTCTTTCTCCCTTCTCCCTCTCTTCCCCTCTCCATTCTCTCTCCACTTTCCTTCTATCTTCTTCTCACTCTTTCCCCCCCTCCCGCTC